CAGTGATATATTTATCATAAGGTGATAAAATCGCTTGACCAGAAAAAAAAATATAAGAGGAATCAAGCATAACTTGAGATCAAAGTTTTATACATTTTTTTTTTTTAATATGCGAATAATCTTGCAAAACTAAACAACATTTATTTTTGTATCTGAATTTCATAAAATAAAACTATCTTTACGTATTTAGTGTAATTAATTTTATAATAATTGTTTAACATCGAACACATACAGGACAAGTCTTCGAACCTATCACAAATCAATATAGCTGATATTATTTCTGTATAGTGGAAAAGAATAAACTTAATATAACTTAATCCTTTTGATCCTGTTATCCAAATTTGCTTAAATTACATCAAAAGCAGAAAAAAAGTAAAAAGTATAAAGAGTACGTTTTCATGGAAAAAATAAAAAAAAACCAAAAATATTTTCTAATTCAAAAAGAGTATACGTCATCCTAATCATACTGTTTAAAATATAATACGCGATCACGTTTTCTTGAATGGCTATTTCCGTGCGGCGATCTCACGATTCTTGAATTAATATTTCCGTGCGGTAATCTCGCGTGCGAAGTGTCTTACAATACCCGGCTTGTTATAATGGTATTGAATTCAAATGACCGAGATTAGAACCAATTTCGGATTGTCTGAAGTTTGGCATACTTGGACGGCGGCCGAACGACGAGACAATCAGTCTGGTTCTAACGCGATCAAGATTCGCATGGGACGTGGAGTTGGTCACTTCGACCAGATTCCACCTAATCAGCGCAGTCGATGTCTGCAATTTAGCCGGTTTGATCCTACTGCTCCGGTTTGGAAGCGGAAGCCACTCGCCATTCGCCACTCGACAGAGGGCCTGCCGGTGGTTATGTGCCGTGCATACATATTCATGCCGCCTCTGAGGCGCGCTAGGAACGGTTGTTTGAGATTAATACGATGATCTAAAGTCGTAAGCTACGGTAAGCCGTGGAAGGATTTGTTGATCCTTGATGGTCTTGTCCGACAACATTTGATCCCGTGTCCCGTGTCCCGATTTTAATTGGCCATCATTATACGCGACTAGTTTTCGACTAAAAAAAAAAAATCACTTCCCTCCCCTGTCCCTTCTAGAGCAACATTCGTCACTTCGTCTGCTGTTGCTGAATTGAAACATATTCTTGTCCGATGTTTTTTCAGAACTCCCGAATGTATCGGATAGCTCGAAAGCGATCGAAAAAAAGTTAATAGCAAAAAGAAGTAAAGTAGAGATCTCTGATTACGTTTGTTACGTGTCATTAAAGCCAAGTAACTCGATCATGTGATCGCACTTCGTCAGAACCCATTTAGTTTCCATAAACGTCATGAACTCGTTTCCGATAAAGTCGATAATAGAATTAACGACGTTTGAGTCTATTATATTACTCCTGTTATGTTATGATTTTCCCTTGATATGGCAATTAGACAGTTTCATTATAGAACTTTCATCCACTTTAATAATTTTACTATAATATTTATAAAAATATTTTAATCGATCTAATAATAAATACGTCTACTACAAAAATATATGCTATTTTTATTTTTATACGTCAGTAACTTTATAATTTTATTCTTTACATGTTTAGTAGTGTTAAAAAATCTCTTTGTAGTGTTAAAAAAATTACAAAAAAATCCGAATTTAACGTATAATTTTCTTTTTGTAAGAAAGAACTCGAATGTGGAAGAACTTGCTGTAAATCAAAAGGTAAATCAAAAGTTAAAATTAGATTGAACTAAGAGCAAGTCGATCAGATCGCAATTCAGCCTGGTTTATTTATTATTTTGGCATGATGTTTGTGCCAACTATCAGCTTTACCACTTGTCTTGACTTTTTGACCCGGATTAAATAGTACATCGGAAAACTAGTTGCCAAAATTCTTTCGGGGTTTTTTCTCGATAAAAATAGCTCATGTTTCAATACTATTAAGTAAAACGAGAGATCTTCATTTTCAAAAGTATTTTCGAATGAAATATTAAAACAAATTAGAGCTTCATTTCTTAAATGGTATTTTTGGAAAAAAGTTTCAAGAAATTAATATTAATTCGCGCTGCTTTCACGCCTATAATCGTTTTGCATTTAACATCTGCTTCCAAATGGATTCTCAATGGATTCTATTTAATATTGTATCTGATCATTATCACAAGAGATAGTGAGAGAGAGAAAGAATAAAAAAGAAAAGGACATATTTCAATACTAATGCACAAAGACAGAAGAGGACGATTTGTGTATCAGGCGAACTTTGCAAAAGGATCAAAATGACCAAAGAGCTAACGAAGCCTCGCACCAAGCGGAATATCGCGGTTTCATTTCTGTCGATCGAATTAAGACGGTCTGACAAGTTTAATCTACGGTTCTCTGCTCAAAGGTGAATTTTAACCTTGCATAGCAAGAATGAATCAAACATATGTAATTGGACTGCTCGATAGATTCTTCATAGATTTCTTCATAGATTTCTTCATAGATTTCATTTATCGATTTTGATCTCTTCTAGTGTTGGAAAAATCTTTCTCATACGCACTTTCTGATAAACTGATAATTATACTTAAGTTATTACTTTAATTAATTTAATTTTCATAGTAATGTAATAAAAATGTCAAGATAACAAATAAATTTTAACTGAGAAATTGTCAAGGAAAATTTCAACATATTAAAAAAAGCTACATAAATAAGAAAAAAAAGCGTGAATAAAAAACTTCTGATGTTATTTGAAAAATGAAATGAAAAATATTTATCAATATTTACGTCGATATCTTTACTTTACGAATTTTTATTTTACGGTGTACGGAGTGTAAGTTTTAAACATTTCGATCCTTTGAAGCAATAGATTAAGGTACAGATCTCGTACATAGCGCACTAACATTGCTCTTTTACGAACCGTCGTATTAGCGACCGTTGCACGTCGGCGAGCTTAAGTGGCGACGTAAATACAGACCGCAACTGACTCTATTCTACTGACCTGTCGTTAAATGTTTTCTCAAACTTATTACGTTAGCTACAGGAAAGTTCATGAAACGTGCAGTTTAAAGTCTGCCGACGAAATAGATAATTTATGACATTTTCCATCAGAGAATTGCGCGTAACTTTTGCAATTTGTCGAAATATTAACTCGAAATCTCAACAGTTTTCCGGAAGAACAATATTCAAATTTAATCTTTTAATTAATTTTTATTAAAACTATTCAAGAAGACGCCTAAAAATTAAATTTTTTTTATCCTCCTCCCTCTTTCTCTCTCCGTCTCTCTCCTCCTCTTTCTTTCTTGAAATACTTTATGTTTTTTATTTTTCTTTATCAAGTAAGTAATAGATGTGTGCAATTCCCAGGCTGCACGTAATGGAAGAAGCCCACTATTTCTCGTTTACGACTTGTAATCCGCGTTCTTGTCGTAAAAACGCACCGTAAAACGTTACCTCAACGAGGAAGAAATTCGCGTTGCCTGTCGTGAATACAAATCCATGTGCTCGATTGGACTTGGTTTGCTAAATGTTTCAATCTCAGAAGAATAAATTTAAGCGGTAACTCTGAATATTGTAGCACTTAAAAGAAAGTATGCAATCTTAGATTTAACGTATAATTTTCTAAAAGTATAATATTAAATATTCTAATATTCAATATTCTAATATCTCCTTAATGTTCCCAAAATTAAATTAACAATTAATAATTACGCGCAAATGATGAAAAACATTTTCAAAGACTTAAAAAATTGGAAAACGCAGTTTTGGACGATAAGTTGCAAATCAAAGGAATAAAGACAAAATAAAATATATATATTAAAATTATAATGTCGTGAACTTTCATTGATCAAACGAAAGGAATTGTCGATCGACAGCGGTTTCCTTTATCTAATCGATGTGAAGAGCTGGAGGGGAAACTTCCTTTTTAATTCGTCCGAAATTACGCGTCATCGGCACGCACCGCGGAATTAAATTTAACGGGACGACGGTGAAGGCGGTCCCGCCACCGGGAACGGATAATTATGGGGCAACACGTGCGTGAGAAGGAGTTATTAACCCTCGTTCGCCAAGCTGATTTTATTTCCGGGGGAGGACACAGAGCAGGAAGTGAAAACGCACAGAGGACGCTCGTGCATTTAAGTCTAATGTTGCGTTATGAGATAACCGGCAAACGATTAGTATTCTACCTCTCTGCTCCCCGTTTTCAATGCACTGTTATTTCGAGGACTGTAGATCTAATCCAGTTAACGAATTCTTTATCTAAAGTGGGATAAAATGAGCTCAATAAAATTAGTAAAAAGCAGAAATAATAATAAATTGTAACGCCGTTTACTTTTCATAAAGAATTTTCATCTACAGTATACTATAGTATTTTTTATATTCTTTCTTCTCTGTTGTTCGTGCGTGAGCAACTTGCATGAAAATAAAAGATAAACTCACTTTGTCATCGGTAAACTAAAATAAGTGATGAGTTTTTCAATATATATATAGGAATAATGTCCCAAAATTTCAGCAAATAAAACAATGATACACCAAATGCTTCAAGAAATGTGAAAAAAACTATTAAACTTTTATTATCGTAAAAAAAAACCATGCTAGGAAGATATGTAAATAGAATATCCATTATAGTTTAATCTCAAAATCTTTCTTCGTCCTGTTTAGGATCCTCGATTCCTCTTCGAAGTGAACGCTTCCTCGAACCGGGCGAACGGTTTAAAGTGAACGCGATAGCTCTTTCTCGCCGACCGTAAATCCGCGTAACCGTTAATAAAGTTCTGTCTCAGCCGTCGTCCGAACTAATGCAGAGCCCCGGTAATGCGAAATTCATTACCCTACGCGAAGGAACGACGATAAAGTTAACATTACGGACGGCTATAAGCGGCTCAGCCCGATCGCCGGCCCGGGTTATGTCTGAAGACTTTCCGATAACTAATTTTCAACGAGACGCTTAGGATTCAGCCACCAAGTACATCCTCATTGCGATAAGAGTCCTTAATCTTTCAAAAAGTATTAGATGAACAATGCTAAGAATATGTTCAATGTTCTGTTAAAATTTTATCTATCTTCTTATAATGAGCGTCTTACTCACTTATATATTTTATGATCATCAGGAATGTCATGTGAAGGTATACATATTATCTTTATGACGCTATAATAATCTTCTTTTATATATTAGTTTAATTCTTTTATTGTAATTTTTATCTAAAGTTATTCTTTTAATATAAATATGTAAATAACTGTTTTTTCTTCTGTGACTTTTTTCTTTAAAAATTGAACGATTTAAAATTAAAATAAATAATTCTTAAAATAATATGTTATATACATGTAAAGAATAATATCCACATATATATAAATTTTAAAGAATAATACCAAAATATATATTATTTATTGAGAGTTTACCATCACATGGCGTATAAAAGCTAGGTAAAAAAACGTACTCACTGTTTGCGGCCATTATATTGCGATCATTGGTTGTCTACGTGATACTTACCTGTAACAAAAAAGCACATTACAAGTTAGTAACGACATTCGCATATAAAATATTTTAACATGCACTACGACAACATTCATAGCACGTTCCTTGCTAATGATTGCTATCGAAACTTTCTGCATGTAAATGACGATTGAGAATTTGATATTAATCGCTGCGCCAGAGATGGATGAAAATTACACGATCTGACGCGCATAATAAATTATTTTTTTTCCGATGTACAAAACATTAAAATATTATGTTTCTAGGAACAAAAACAACGCAATGCATACGCTAAATGCGGGTAAATCTATATAATAAATGCATATTTTTTCAAATAAAAGTAATTTAATTAACTTCAAATAAAAGTAATTTAATTAACTTTGATAAATTTTATTATAACGCAATTATTAATTATACAATTTCAAGCTATTTGATTATTGAAAAATATTCTTTCTATTTCTTTTTTCGTTTGTCTTTTTCTAATTTAATTTTATTTACATATATTCAGAATTGTAGGTTTAATTTTTATTGTTATATCTGTTATTTTTAATCAATTTGTTTCTTTCAGTCATCTTAGTAACTAATCTTTGAATATATAAAAAATTTCGAAATAAAGTCTTTTTAAAAAAAATTCAACGTTCAAACGAAAAACTTTCTTATATAATTATAATTCATTGTACTTTGTTTACATATTTCACTTTAAACACATTTTTATAAGTTCTATAATTCAAAAGCCATTGTGTTTCACAACTGAAAAAAAAGATGATTATGAATAAATATCAAGAAATATGCTATCAAGACTAAAGCTACTATTTCCGAAACGCTCTATATGTTTCGCGTATATTCGCAGTCACTACGCGAATTTTGGGATGGCGTGATGTTTATTCAGTAAAGCAATAACGCGTCCGTTTTATCGTGATGGCAGAGCGTGCACGACCATCCTCGTTGAAATGTTAATTCGACGCACCACTGCGCAGCAGGGTTGTTATGACGTTAGAGGAAGCGGATGGGAGGACGTGGTTGGCACGGCTGAAATTTTAATAGCAAATCTATCTAGAAATCTATGTACGCGCAAATACAATCATGCGTACGTGTGACGATGGATAACGATATCGGGAGATGAAATCCCGATTCCGACTCATCATATTGATCCGGAAATTCCGTCGGTTAAGTAAAAAAATAATATCTTGCAAATCCCAAGGGAATAAATCACGGTGTGCGTTTAAATAATTATGTCGTATCTCCGCACGATATTCAAATAAGCGGAATAAGCGGAAAGGATTACATTTATATAAATATGCATGTAGATATGCATACGTATGGGTTCGTCGGGGACAGCGAGCTCAAAAATACAAAGAATCGTGACTCGTAAATCGCGCAAAATTAATGAAGAAATTAAAAAAAAGGGACTTTGAGTATATGTCGCTATAAAAATGCTGAATGAAAAGCAATTAAAATGCGGTAATTAAAGCCGCAATAAAGTTATAATAAAATTAATCCGTTCCGTTAATCTTCTAAGAGAGCTTTTTCATTTCTAGATAAAAAAATTAATAAATTGTTATTTGCTCATTGAATTTATATATTGAGAGTCGGAATAATGAATTATATTCAGCATAAAATACGATAACATTTATGGAAAATGAGTTCTTTTTAAATAATATATTTTCAATACTATCTGTGTTTTTTAATTTCGAGGAAAGCTTAATCTAATCATGTCAATACTATGTTATATTTAATCAATTATATTATTATTTTATATTTAATCAATTATAAATTTGTTACACCGTGATAATGTATCAGCTGTGCAATGTTATTCTGCCCGGTGTAAAATGATGTGTACACAACATGCGTCGACACAAAGTGCTCGGATGCAGCACTTGTGTAACCGTACGATGCCAAAGTAATGCGTCATTAGCTTGGCAAAGTGAAACCTTGTTGACATACGTGGTCGTTAATATATAAACCTGAGCTGCACTAATTAGTACGTGCTCAGACTTTGATAGCAATCAGGCACGACAGGTATCCAAATTCAAGGTAGACAGAGTGGCGACCGAAATCACGTGATCGAGCATCTTAATTTTAGCTAAAGGTAAACATTTGCCAAGAAATTAAAATTAGCAGCCGCGTATAAAGGAAAACAGAAGCGTCAATGTACTCTTGTTTATGCGATCTATATAAGACGATTTTTTTATCGCATCGATACGCTAACATTATAACTGACGAAAATAGCATTAATAGCATAGAACTACATCGATCAGCAACGCAGATGTAAACGAAAATTCTAGATAAATTTCTGTTCATTAAAAGACAAAAATATTTTCTATAAATATTCGTAATTTTTTAGTGCATGACAAAGAAGCTTCTATTCAGAGCATAAGTCAAGAGCATTTTCTCTTAAACTGTTTTACTCTATTAGTGTGTTCGACTTAACCTTCGAATTAGTGTTGATTCGGTTAGGTGACTACCGTGCAATCGAGACCGAGATCACCAGCAGTGGGAATCAAACGTGAATATTACTAATTAAGTGATGTTAACCATAAAGACACAAGGAGGAAGAAAAAGAGAGAGAGAAAGAAAAATAAAGAGAAGAGGGGCAGAGAGAGAGAGAGAGAGAGAGAGAGAGAGAGAGAGAGAGAGACA